GAGCGGCGTCGGCGCGGCGGCCAGTGCCGCGTGTTCGGCTGACGCGGCCACGTGTTTTGCGCGTGTGTCGCAAAGCGCGTCGCGCCCGCTCGTCCTCCCGTTCGTGCTTCCGAGTCTCTGCCTCTCCGAAGTCCACTAGTAGCACCTGTAGCTATGCAGAGTCCGGATCTTATGTATCTAGCCATAGAGACGGGATCTCAATTTTTTTTGGTGAACCCACTCTGAAGCCCACAAGTCCATACATATGGCTTGCAATTCTCACTTGATAATTTCTATAAGCATGTACAAAGCTTATCTATGTCATATCATACTCCCACGCGACCATCCAATACTAGCGTGCCAACGAGGAGGATGAGCGGGCGCGACGCGCTTTGCGACACACGCGCAAAACACGTGGCCGCGTCAGCCGAACACGCGGCACTGGCCGCCGCGCCGACGCCGCTCCTTGTCCCTCCTCCCCCTCCCTTCTGCGCCTTGACGGGCTTCGTTCGACAGCCTAGCACGTACAGTATGCGGTGGGGCTGAAGGGATGGGCGGGACGGGCGGGAGGGAGCGGGGGAGGCCCGGGGAAGGCGAGCTCGCCGTGATTATTCTTTAATGGTAATTCAAAACCGCGTCCTAAATCTAATCCGATTTTTGACACGTTTGGACCGCCATAGCGGGGAAGGGCAAGGATTCATCTTCATACGAGAGCTATAGTACGTTACTCACGGCACATCCAGCTCGAAGGGTACCTCTACTACCTCCGATACCACTGCTTTCAATAGAAGGTCATCTTTCAACTGCCGCACTGCAAGCTCGCTTAAGACTGTTCTGAACGATGAACCAAGCACAACCCTTTGCAGACCGTGGCCTTGTTCAACACGGCGCTTCAGGCCGTCCAAGAAATTTTGCCACGGCGGAAGACGCACCGGACGAGGGTAGTTGCCGGGTTGATGGCCGATGGCGGGGTTGACATCAAGATCGGCACCAGCACTCGTATCCCCATCGTGCACACCTCCCAACTCTCCATTCGCGTATCCGAAGCGCGTGCGCAGGCGATCGTCACCCTGCAGGTAGTCATCCATACTTTCCGTCTCCGTGACCGTCTCAAGCTCCGGCAAGGAATCATCATCCGAGTGGTCCGACCCCAAGTTTGACCCGTGGCGCGGTGGCTTTCCGCTGGTGAAATGGATGGTTTGGAGTCGAGGAAGAAGGAGAGATCTCTCGGAGGGATATGATGTACTGGGACAGACGGCGTCCCATAGTTCGTCGCGCGGAGGGAACTCATCCAGGATGAGGGTTTGCACAGCGGCGAGATGAAGCAAGCCATGGCGCCAGTGCGTGGTGGAGTACCTGCCCAGCCTACATAGCTCGAGGGTGACAGGGTACGAGAGCGAGAGCTGCTCGCTGACTTGATCAAGACAGGCAAGAGGGGCGGCCGCGGTCAAGTTCAGAAGGCTGTCCATCTGCGCCATGCGTACGTCGAGGATGAGGCCATGATCATGTCGAAATGGGCCTTGCAGCTTGCGCATTACTGCTCCCGGTTGGGACACAAACAGTAGAATACGCAGGACTTTGCTGCAGTCAAGTCGAATGCCGTTCACTTGCGAAATGTCGGCGGATTGGCCGAAATGACGGGCGACAAAACTGGTGAAGTCGAGTCTGAGTCGCATAGCGGCTTCATCTAAGGTCACACTGTGTCCCCAGTTACTGGGTGCTCCACCACCTAAGTGCATGGCAATACGTGCTCTTGTGGGAATGGAGAGAGCATTCCACAGAGTCGAACAAAATTCATATGAGGCACTAAGGTGCAAGTCCTCGAGATGCGGCAAAGCCGACGGAGTGGTCGCGGCCGCAATTGGCGTGAAACTTCCACTGATAGTGAGTCTGCGTAGATTGTTCGCCAGCCCAACGGCCCGGATTAGACCGGATGAATCGAAAGTGGTATGCATCCCCCACTGGCGCTCTACCTGGAATCGCAGGTTGAGTGATTCGAGGTTCCCGTAATCACAGTTGATTATGCAGTTGTGCGTCGTCAGGTGCCGAAGTCGGGGCGATCTTGCGAGCGCACATCGGGGAAAAGAGGCATCCTCGCTATAGTGGACAAGTGTGGCCCTCTCTAGGTAGGGGAGTTCTTTGGTCTTCAGTACATCTATAGATGCATTGAGGACCATGGGAGGAAGGGCAAGAGATCGCGCCCTGGTAAGATTCCCCGTCAGGAACCGCAAGAACGGCTGAGAGAATAGATACGGCCTGTGACTCGACGATAAGTGAGATCGACCGGCGCGGAAGTGGAATGGTTCATCAAGTAGATCTATGGCTAGAGGTAGGTCCTGAGAGCGTTTCACGAGTTCATAGCTTCCCGCAGGAAGTTGGAATGCGGCCGATGCCCATAGATGACCCATATCAAGGAGGATCTGGCGCAGAGTAGAGCAAACTTGGCCCAATCGTATCCATCCCAGAGATCTCGGGGATGGTGGCTCAGATCCGGCGCATATGGCTAAGATGCTGCAGATAACTTCCACGGGGAGATATAGAAGAGGGAAAACGTTGCGATTGGAGAGGCTATGTGCGCGATGTAGCTATCAGTACCATATCACTCGAGTGGGTAATGTGTGACATACGAGACGCGGTCCAGTTGCGTAGATAGAGAGGACTCCATCGAGGTGTACACGGTTTATGTCGAAAGTGCGCGTCTACCTTTGCGCGAGGAAGATAGAGCGAACGTCAGCTGCGGAGCGGATTACGCTCGACGGAGTAGCCAGCTCAGTCGTATGATAGGTTTTGCGAGATAGAGGCTGTTCACTTGTCTAGGATGATGGTGGTTGACTTGACGGTCAAGTGGTCGACATCGACAACGATATCGATGGCCACGCGGATACTTTCTCACCGTAGAAATTTCGTGAGCCGATTCAGCTATTACGCACAGAGCACGATGTTATGCCGAGGGCACAGAGTTAGACAGCTACAACCTAATGATACAACAGGAGAGGCAGGCTACAGGTTCAAAGGGTACTCTACATGTGCCGGTAAGGTGTCGAGACTGGAGACGTAACGTCAGAAACTGACCGTCTACGACTACAGGTCACCATGTCACCTGTGATTGTCGGCGTAGCCATCAAGCTCCTCGAGAATCTGGATTTGTTCCGACACAGGCAGCCTATCGCTAGCAATAGTCAATCGCATGAAGTTTGGTGAATATCCAAAATACACTTACAATTTTCCCGCGAAATCGGCCAGATCTTGGGGCCGTTGCACTATGCCAAGATCCAACAGTGCGCGTTGGCGAGCTTGTAGCTTCTGCATAGCCGTAGGCGCCGCTTGATGATGACGGCGTTTGGGCGGCCAATTTGGATCTGGTAGCGGTTTCACAGGCCTGCCTTGCGCGATGGCGGCCCTGCGTTTTGCTAGGTCGCGCTCCTGTTTTTTCGCTTGGCGTTCTTCCTGTGCAACGACTCAGCGAGTGCATCTGAAAAGAGACCAATCATTCATACCTCAATAACTTTCTTGACCCGAGCTTCCTCGATATGGCTCTCTTCGAGCAACTCATCGTTTATGTGAGAGTACTTGATTCCAGATTCCTCAAGGATGCGCTTTGCAGCGTCCTGAGACACAGCAGGGACAGTATCGCTAAACAAGAGTGAGCCAAGTCCTTTGAGATCGCTCTGCACGTCTGATTATCAGTAATAGGATCGAAAACGGATTCTGAGAACGTACATCGCCCTTGACCTCTACGGCTTCGGCTTCTCGTACCCATTTCGGGCCTTTTGTATCCGCTTTACTCTGCGCGCGAATGGCGTCCAAGTTCTCCATGGCCCAATCAAGGTTCCCAACACTGGCGCGCTCAATAGCCATACGCGTCGTAGATTCATTCTCGTGCAACGCGAAGATGTTCTTGAGACCAAACAGCTCGCCCTGCCGTTGTTTATCACCAGATACGCCCGTGAAGTAACGGGTCTGCATGCTGCCTTCGTACCCAACCAACATTTGTTGTTGCTTGTAGACTTGCCGCGCATAGATGAGCTCCTCGATAGAACCTGCGCCAAGTAGACGATAGACCGAAACGTCTCGTGTTTGGCCATAGCGGTATGCGCGGTCCATCGCTTGAAGATCGTGAGCAGGATTCCAATTGGGGTCTGTGCGTCATCAGCCGCCCGAACTCTTGTTGATTGCATCAAGACGATCACGCACCGAAGATCACGACCTTGTTGGCTGCAGTGAGGTTCAGACCCGTACCTCCGGCCAGCGTCGAAACGATGAATACGAAGATCTTTGGATCCTCCTGGAATGCGTCAACGAGCGGCATCCGATCTGAGGGCTTCGTGGAGCCATCGAGCTTCACGAATCCGTACGAGCACGCCGAAAGATGGAACTCGAGCATGTCGATCAATTTTACTGATTTAGTGAAGATCAAGACTTTGTTGGCCGCCGCGCGATCTCTCTGCCATTCGGATAGTAGTGTTTCAAGCACCTAGTGCGATGACTTCAGATAGACGTCCTATCAAGGTCGCGAGGAGATGCGTACCTTCCACTTGCCGCAGTACTCCGCCTCCAGCTTTGCAACAGCGTACTTGGGTGGGCGTCCGTTGAACGCCATGTCCGAGAGTTCGCGATTGCGCGCCGTTTGGTCTGGTGTATCGGTCGGTGCTTCGTGTGCCAGTCAGCATGCATGTCACACCAATATCAGTCAGAGCGGCTCACCGGGCAGGATCAGCGCTAGGTGGTTCGAGACGCTGATGAGTATGGACATATAACGGAAAAGGTCCTCTTTAGCATAAGGGTGGTGACACTTTTGGCGTCTACACAACAGTCGGAACGTGCGCGGATATTGAAACGGATATATGCTCACTTCATTCTGGACCCGCAATCGCAGAGATCATCCTTTTTGACCATGTTCTGCACGGCATCGCTACCGACAATGCGCTTGTAGACAGCAACCTGCCTGGGCGTGAGCGGGCAGAACACGACTTGATCTGTCTTCTTCGGCAGCTGGTGCTTGATAATATCCTTGGTCCTGCATCATCGTTAATGCTGCACCAAGACAATGCGATAATGTGAGTTACCTGCGCAGGAAGTACAATGGGAGTAGCTTGTCGTGGAGATTGGCCTTCACCATATTCGCTCGTTGAAGCTCGTGCCCACGGGCATTCCTAGCTTGACCAGCGGCCAGAGGATCCGAAACGAGCGTGGTCCATTGCTTGTGGGTGCCCACCAAGCCCGGATTGACCCAATCCAACAAGACCCAGAACTCAGTCAAATTGTTCTGTATCGCAGTGCCCGTCATTGCTACGCGCATAGGACCCGTTCGTGTAGGAGGAGTCTCTCCTAACAAGCTTATTGAGTATGTGATGCGCGTGGAGATGAGAGGGCAACTCACCGGTATGAACGAGTTGGGTGAGATGGGCGGGGATACGATGGTTCTCTCTCCATGCGAACGAACCGAACGCCTCGGTAGTCTTAGACTTCGGGTTCTTCAGTTTGTGCGCTTCGTCAACAATGAGTACCGTGAGAGGTAAGTCATTCAATTCCTCGAAATGACGCCTTGCCGTATCAAAGGAAGTGACCACTGGGATAGACGAATGAGTGTATGATTCAACGGTGAGGGAAGTGCATCGCTTACAGACGTCAAGCCGGCCGTACGTGAAGTCCCGCAATGCCGCGGCGCGCTCCTCCTTGCTCCCGACGTAGAGTCCGACCTCGAAGTATCCCCACTGAGTGAAACGTTGAGCACTGACTAGCCGATCCGCGCCTGTATCATACCTTCGTGAACTCCCGTGCCCAGTTCTCCACCACACTGCTGGGCGCTACTATCATGGCGGTAGGCCACCGCGAGTCCGCAGGTGGTAATGAGCGACGCCAGTCTTCCTTGTCTTGCAACTTATCGACGTGCTTCGCTCGACGGTCAATGTCTGCAGGAGTTCCGGTCTTGCGCATGATAGCGGACAGGAAGGCTATAATCTGTAGACTTTTGCCTAGCCCCATATCGTCACCAAGCACCGCGCCGAGACCTTTTCGATAGCGCTCGAAGAAGAACTTGACGCCGTCGCGTTGATAAGGTCGCAGGTACTTGTTGACTGGTCCTGGCACGCATGTCGCAGTGGGAGCATCGAGAACAAAGACCTCCTTGTGCCCTTGAGCAGCGGCGAGGAGAGTAGAGCCCTGGTGAAGAGACGCGGTCAAAAACCTCTGACTTGAACAGTGAAGGAAAGACTACTCACCATGCGCTGCGGAAGCTTGGTACCACTGGCAGTATCCTTCTCGTCCTCATCAGATTCAGGCTCGGTGGTGGATCCATCGTAGGCCTTTCTAGAAGCTGGGGGGTCGTTCACATTACCGTTTAGCACAGGCTCTCGAAGGACTTACTCGACGGTCCAGCATCGGACTCACTCTCGGTTGTGGAACCACTACCGTTCGTGGTAGTCTGACTCTGTACCGGGACCTTTGGTTTGTATTGAGGTGCAACCGGGCGAGCACTCTTGCCAGGCGGCTTCACTATCGGGGTAGGCTCGGCATCGCTTTCAGGCTCTTTTGTTGGACATTTCAGTGTCCAGCTAACCCTTCAAATGATGCTCGCTTACCGGTGTCGCTGCCTGAGAGGCCTTGCAACGGAGCTAGATTATCCAGCTGTGGTAGAAGTGTAGGCGCCAAAGGCTTACGGCCCGGAGGTGAGGATGGTCGAGGATCAGAGGAATATCCATCGCTCATGTCCTCATCTTCTTCCTCTTCTTCCTCCTCAGCATCAGCGTCCTCCTCTTCGTCCGATAGTGGTTCCGGAACAAACTCTATATCATCGGTCAGCACTCATATCGGTTAATTGAGGCAAACCAAAGCACGGACTGAAGAACTCGAGCAGCGGATTATACACAGCCTCAGGCTTGTGTGCGCGTTTCGCACCTGTTTGAACTTGAGCATAGAGCCTGAAAGTTGTACATATCTCACATACGCTTCTTACGAGGCCCCTCCATCTGTGCCAACGTTTCTGACCTCCGACTGCGCTTCTTGGGAACCACAATGTCCGGATCGGGTGAAGCAACCTTGCGAGCGCGTCCTCTCCTCTTGGCAGGTTCGGGAATGTATAGTCCAGAAACAAACTCAGGATCAGAGTCGACTACATTTATACATCAGTATCTACACGCATAAGACGTGACTGGGGATCTGAGACATACCTACAGGTGCTGGGATAGATTTGCGAGCGCCTAATTGTGTATACGTCAGTCAACAATGAGATTCAAAGAGTACGTGTGCGTACGTTCAGCATATCGCAAGCCTTTGGAAGATGCCATTTGTGCTTTGGTTGCTGTCCCTGAACGGGAAGCCATGGCGGTCGCGGTCAAGTCGCGTCGAACGACTGCGACGCGACGATTTCATCGACCCTCACGTGTCCGTGTGGTTGGTTGATCGCGCTGAACTGGGACTGCGCGTAGATGCCGATGACGAGGTGTCTAGTTCGTTCAGTTAGGGACCGTAGTATGCCATCTCTGAAGTGCATTGATATTCGTCTTCGAGCAGGTCAGGGCTTAGGGGCGTTCGGCATTCGGCCGTGTTCGGATTCTGGGCCACAACTCGCCACGCGTTGACCATATTGATCGAGTCTATGTAGCATGCCCAGCGCACGATTATATCAGCGAGCGCATATATCTATCTAGCAGTAGTGGTAGTACATCAAGATAAATGTCCGGCTCTGAATCAAGATCCACCACACAAGCAACTCTAAACGTCTAAACATCCAGATGCATACGTTGGCAATTCGCACACATCCCAGCAGCCCTCATAGGCTGTTGCTCGAACGCAGTACAAGCACCCGTCTCACTATCCCTCAACCCAAATGGACTCCCCTTGGTCGTAACCGGCGACGTCCCGCTATGTCCCGATGCACTCGACGCAGCGCTAGCCGACTGATAAAAGCTTGACGAATGGCCAGTCAGACTCGAACCGGAGCTTGGTGGCCTCCGTAAGCTAGAGCCAGCACTGGGTGAATGGTGCAGCATGTGCGCATTATTAGAGTCGAGACTCGGTGCGTTTGAATGTGCACGGCGCGGAGGTGGTGGAGGCGGGACCTTCGGTGTCGTGGTACGACGAGGTGGAGGGGGCGGTGGTTGACGCACACCCTCGCCCGGAGGCCCAAACGCGTCTTCGCGTTCATCATGCGCTTTCTTCGGCATGAGGAACGCACCATCGTCCATCGAGTCGGCTATGCTATGCGTATCCGCGGCGCTCTCGTCACCCGAGAAGGTAGCGCTCAGAGGACTGAAGAGCGAGTTGGTCGTCGCATGCTCATCGCCGAAGGGGTGTGCGGCGGCTTCGTCGGAGTGGGAGCGCTCGGGTATAGGATGACCAGGAGATAGTTGTCCGCCGAACGTGCCTGCGCGTGGAGGAAGGTTCGGTCGGAGACGCGGCGTCGTAGGTCTGAACTCCTCGGTATGCGTCGTCGGGAAGAGACCGCGATGACCGTCCAGCTCGCCCATCCACCAGCCGTCAAGAACCTCAGACACGACAGCGATGACATCTCCCGATTGGAAGCTCAGCTCATCGGACGAGCCTGCGAAGTCATGTATCGCGCGAACAAGCTTCGGCTGCTTCGCTTCCGTATCACGGTGCGGGCGCGGAGGAATAACAGGGCTTGAGGCGCCAGCACTCTTCTTCGAGCGCATGGAGCCAAAGGACCGCGCGCTGACGGCGCTCGACACAGGTGGTTGTCCCTCTGCGTCCGAGTCGTCTTCATCCAGGTTCGCAAACAGGTCGCGGTCGATGTTCTGGCCTTTCTTGCGGCCGATCGAGGGCAACCAGCCGGCGACGGACATGCGTTTACCAGACTTGGCATCCTTCTCTTCGACACTCTTGTTCCCCATGCTAGGCCTGCGCGAGTGCTTGCCCTTCTCCTCATCGTCGGTCTTATCGCCCTTCGCCGTCGCCGCACTATTAGCACGAGAGCGAGCCCCTGATCGCGACTGCGGACGCGAAGTTGGCTTCGCAGCCTTTGAGGAGCGTCGTGACATGACAGGAGCGTGCTCTTCCTCGGACTCATCCGTATCCGAGTCTACAGCTGAGGCGGAAGTGGGTTGACCCTTCGCCGTTGCCGACGATGCAGTACGCTTGCGCGTCGGCGCGGACGCAGACCTGCTGCGCGAGGGAAGTTCAGGTGATCCATTGGTGGAGCCATTCAGGTCGGGCATCTTCGCAAAGTTGTGCATCGGACCGACTTCTCTACGGCTGGGACGACGGTTCATACTGGAATGAGACGCCCAATCGCGTTTGACATCACGCAGGATCTCCGCGTACTGTTCGGCGAACGCGAGTTCGGCGTCTAGCATGCCCGTCAGATCACGCAGTTGTTCCACCTCCCGATCCTGGATGGCCTCGATACGCGCCCGCAGATCCTCGGCCTGTTCATCACTGCAGACATTTGGTTAGGAAGGCTCACGCGCTGTAGACACGAGTTACATACTATTTCAACTTGGCCTTGACTACCTCGTCTTCGGCTTGATCGCGTTCCTTGTCCTTCGCTTTCTTGTTCGCTTGTACCTTTTCCAAGGCTGTGACCGCGGCGTCGTAGTTGATCCTGATATAAAGTCAGCACACGGAGAGATAGGTGTCAGCTCACGTGAACGTACCGCCGTGTCTCCAGCGCTTTACGTTCAGCCTCGTACTCCCTGATCTCCTCCGCCGACGCCTCCAGAGACTCAAGATACGAGCTCTGCAGCGTCAAAGCCAAGGCCTCCTGGGCCAATGCGACCTTGCAATGCGCTTGGCCGAGCTTGACGAGCGAAGATCCTAAGCGGAATATTAAGCCGACATGACCATGAACATGTCTGTCAGCGGGACACACCGTATAATGATCCCTCCAACTGTTCTCCGTGGACGATCATCACGATGCCGAGTGCGTCCCGAGGTAACATCTTACCCTCGTCATCCACGGCGTCCGAAGCCTTCTTCTTACTGATGCTACGGTGGTACATAGTGCCGACCGAGTGCAGCCTGTGTCACGGACAATTAGTTATCATACATGTAATATCAGTCGCGTCGAACACACCTCCGTAGACCATCGCTACGTGTCTCGATATCGCGCTCGAGCTCGCGTGCCTCCTCTGTCACCTCACTCTTATCCTTACTGGACACCATCTCTCCCGCCCACTGTAAGATATTATTAGCTGCCACGTACTGGTCACGAGCACCAGGCATCGCACCTGACGAAGCCGTCCTAACTATACAGTGGCATCAGTGCTGGCTCACACGAGCACACGAGCAGTGCAGACGTACTCGTTTGCTAGCCATTTCGTCGCGATAGCCTCAAAGTAGACAGTGAAGATAACACGCGGGGTCAGGCACAGTACAATTCGTGCCTAGCTAGAACCGAGTTAAGGCCTTGTTCAGTTCTGGGTAGTCTCTAGTCGTAGTATTGCGCCCAGCGCTGTCTCGCCGGGAGAAGGTGGTGGTTGGAGAACAGAGACGGTTGCCGAGTGCCGAAGTCGGTCCACTTCACGCATGGCCAGTCCCAGGGTACGAAGCAATTGAGCAGTGCCCTGATCGCAATGATTGGTTGCTCCAGATTCTCCAACCTCATCTCCGTAGCACGTGTGGACGTGTATTTGATCCGCCTATTGGTCCAGGCGTGCTTTTGCCGCCGCTTCGAGGCACCGAGGTACGCGCAGCGCGTGCTGCGAACGGAGGCAAAAGATACGGTTCGCGTTCATGTAATGTATGTAGCAGGTCTATTCATACAACTGAAAGATACAAATCTATCCGTGCGACGGCGCCTCCGCTGGCCTCTCCTTCACATCCACAGCTACTTTCTCCTCCGACGCACCGACGGCACCCTTCTCAGCATCCGTCTGCTCCGCACTCTCCGCCTTGGAACGCTTATCGCCATAGCCAAGCCCTCCTTCCCAACCCAACCAAGTTCTGCGGCCAGCATGTGGACCACGGGAGAACAAGAAGACAAACTGGAGCCCCACAAGTCCCATCATCCATACGCCCATGATGCGCCAGCCGTGCGCGACGAAGATAGCTGTGCCACCGCTGGTTCCAATAACCTTACCGATGAACAGCTAGCAGAAAGACTCAGCAAGATCAAATATTTGAGCGAGTCTTCTCAAGACGTACCGAGAGAATGATCAGCGCGTTCATGCGCGCTCGCATCTCTCCAGCAATGTTGAGCACAGCTGTGGTCAGACAGACCACCTGAAGCTGTCTGAACAGATCTACGCCGACCATGAACACCACTATCGCGCCGATATTGAGTCCCGCTGCGCCCGTGTATAGCGCCATGCAACCTAGCAAGGCGACGGTCGAGTAGAAGGCTCCCCACCATGGGACAACTTTGTCGACGACCCTTCCGGATAGAGGCGCCATACACACACCGAAGATGCCCACTAGCGACATGAGGCCAATGGCCAGCCTGTGAAACAGTATCAATGAGATGCAGGGTGACGGTGAAAGTTCAAAGAGGGCACGCACGTCGAGTAGTGGTATGGCGCGTCACCAAGGAGGAAGGTGAGCGTGACGAAGAAGGCCGTCAGGTAAACGCTCCCAGTGCATTGAATGAGCGCCGTCTGCACGACCTTGGGCTCAGTGACCAGAATTGTCACGAGGCTCCACATGAGATCGAAGTACGTGAGATCCTTCGTCTTAGGGGGGTAGTCGGGGACTGTCGCCCACAGCGACAGCAAAGTAGCACCTTGCAACCCGATCGCCATGTAAAACACGCTTCGCCAGTCCGCGAACTCCGCAATGACTCCAGATACCACGCGTGCCATGAGTACTCCGAGTGATAATCCGGCGAAGACGATCGAAAGGGCGGTTCCGCGACGTTCTGTTGGTGCGAGATCGGCGGCGAGCGGTACCATGATCTGAGGAACGACGCTGGACATGCCAATGAGGAAGCAGAGGGCCTCGAAGACGGCGACCGACTTCGTGATGCAAAGACCGACAGTGAGGGATGTGGAAACGGTAATGCAGGTAAGGAGGAGCATGCGTCTGTGAACGAGATCGCCGAGAGGACATATGAGGAGTAGGCCAGAGCCGTAACCAGCCTGTATGAGCGTTGGGATTCTAAGCGTATAGGTTCAAAGGGTGCCAGACACTGAGCACGAGACAACATACCGAGCGATTCTGTTGTAGTCCACTTTGAAGTAGAGCGAAAGCTGAACTGTAGGCCGAGTTAGCATATTTTGTGATCCGTCTGGTCGACGCTGGGCACGCACTTAGTAGCGGATCGACGTAGTTGAGGTTCGCGACGACTGATGGTAAAGATCAGTATGCGTGTGGGCAGGACCTAGAGGGGCATACTCACTGAAACATGTTGCGGCCGCGAAGAGATAGTTGAGCGCTTGACTGAAATGCGTCGGTCGTGCAGGGTCGTAACGTAGGCGCTTTGGAATCGGCAAGAAGCCGAAGTCTCTCTTCCGAGGTACATACGATGCCTGGGGTGGCGAGGCAATATCCCCGGCTGAAGGGACAGAAGATTTCTTGTCTCGAGGTTCGTCTACAGCAGAGGCTGCAACAGGTTCAGTAGACGCCGACATGTCCGAGGAGGGGGATGTACTACCGACCGAGGCATGATCGAGAGCATACATATCTTATAAGATAACTGAAATCTCATAATGCCGCACTTCGGCGTAGCCGCTCGAACCGACGAACACCGAGTGCTAAACACCCTCGCGGTCAAATGAGGCACAAGCCGCGAGCGCAATCGACGTGCTCAATCACTCGCCACCCCACACGGCCGAGAGCCGGCCGGGGAAGATGTATGCGCGAAGCTCCAAGATCAAGTATGCGCAGGTGCAGTCTCAGACCACTCGAACGATTATCTTGTCAGATAATCGAGATGGTACTCTTCGGGTGGTCATGGTCTTTGAGCAACATGCGGTGACGCCGACTCGCCGAGTGGCGAGCGCGCGTGATTGGACGTCGGCAAATCCCGTCCGACCCCACGCCGAGGGTGTCCTTCCCTTCTTGCAGTCAGCTAATTACGCCTGCATCCTTCCACCATATGGAGACGGTTCTCATAGCCGGAGCATCATGCGTGTACAGCCATGGCTGAAGCTCACTTCACACCGTACAGATCAACGGTCGATGTACTCAGTACATACTATGATCAAAACGCAATTGCTTCCTGCTCTGGAATTCGCTAGAATGTCTGCCTAATCGGGGTGTGGCACAGGCTCAGTCATCTCCGCTCGTGCACTGACTTGCACCTACACTTCATTAACGCTGACAACCTCCGAACGTGACCTGAACCCCGCTATAAAACTACTCTCTGCGAAATCAAATTATCTCTTCTCATAACGTCGAGATGCCTGCACCCACCGAAATCCAATCCGTCAGCGAATGGAACACGACCCTCCGCGCAGCGAAAGCGCGCACACCACCAACGCCGATAGTGGTCGACTTCCATGCGCAATGGTGTGGCCCTTGCAAACAAATTGCGCCGTTCTACTCCCAGCTCGCGTCCCAACATCCTCATGTGCAGTTTCTCCGGGTCGATGTCGACGCGCCGGGCGTCCGCGCGGTCGCCCAGAAGTACCGGGTCTCGGCCATGCCTACATTCGTCGCAATTCAGGAGGGGAATGTCGTGGATAGCTTGAGAGGCGCCGACCCACGTGGACTCGCGAATATGGTGGAGAAGTTAAAGGTCGCGGCGACGTCGTTGCCTGCGGAAGCGGAGAAGGCTAAGGCGGAGGGTAACAAGGTGCGTACACCCATCGTGTCTCTTCGTCTCCCCACGCTAACATTGTAGCAATTGCAGGCGTTTGCGGCCAAGGACTATACATCTGCCATCACCCATTACACGACCGCCATTGGAAAGGCGCCTCGATCAGCTGTCCTTCACGCCAACCGCGCCTACTCGTACTTGAAGCTGAGCGAAGAAGACTCATCTCGATCTGCCGTTCATGGATCCGAGAGCTCATCCGTGAAGTTGCGAGTGAAGGCTCTTCAAGACGCCATGCTGGTGACAGAACTCGACGAGCGTTGGGGAAAGGGGTGGTACCGGCTCGCTGAAGTGTTGAACGCTGCACGGCAGGATGCCTCTAGTGAAGATGTTGCACCGGAGAAGAGGGAGCAAGGCGCTCGTGTGTCCCGCGATGCAGTCATTGAAGCGCTGGAGCACGCGGTCGCTCTGTCCGATGGGAAGATCAAGGCTGGTACGTCCCTTGGTGGGACTCGCGTTCAGTACGACTACTGACCGGTCCACTACAGAAGCGGAAGCATTGCTGGCAGCTATACGGTCTGAAGCATGACTGTGGCGGCGTTCTATATCTCTTTGTCGTTATCGACGGGGTCTTTTCCATTTTGTATTAGGTTTGGGGGACGGCAGAGCGCTACAATACATGTATCCGTTGCGAAGATGTGCGGACGTGAATGCGACATGCTCATTACAATAGGACCCCTGTATGTGCAGGACCGATGCCGGACTGGGTCCCATCAAACCCTGGTTGCCACATCAGGGCCCTCCCCATCCGCCGGCGCTTGTTCCTGCGGCTCACCAACATGCCCCTTGTCCACCTCGACACCTGCGGCCTCGTCTTTCTCAGATGTCTCCTGTACTCCTTCATCTCTGGCCTCCACAGCACCCTTTCTGAACTCAAGCCCGCCCTCCATGCCGAACCAAGTAGAACGTTGTGCATGTGGCCCGCGGACAAGCAAAACCGGGATTTGAAACGCGCTGAGGGTGAACATGAGCGCACCAACAGCGCGCCAGCCGTACCTGGTATACACTGCAGTGAATACAGACGCGCCAATGGCCTGTCCTATAAGTTGCTGTGTAATATCATCAGGGCGAATCTACCTGGAAAGCAGGGTAGATGACGGACCGAGAGAATGTATACGCTGTTCAGTCGAGCGCGCATGTGTGGGTCGAGGCTCAGGACACTCGTCGCAAGACTGACCTGTTGCAACTGCCGGAAAATGTCTATACCGATCGTCACGATTACAACTGCGGCCACGTTCACTCCCGCAGCGCCCCAATAGATCTATGCACCGACGTAAGTACAAGACCGCCTGAGCGCGCGTTGTCCAGCTCAGACTTACAGCTGCTGTGAGCATCATAAGGACTGTCGCAAAGAGTGTCCCGTACCACGGTACCATTTTGTCGACAAGGCGGCCGACCAAGGGTGACACGACCACTCCGGCCATGCCTACGACACCAAAGAGCCCTGTGAAGTTCTCAGCCACGGGCCATACTATTCATTGCACAATCTCACCTATGACAAGTGTCGAGTAGTAGTATGGCGCATCGCCAAGAAGATACGTCAAACTCGTCCAGAACCCGCCGAAGCAGATCGACGAGGCTATACTGGTGATGTAGGCCTGTATGAGCGTCGGCTCTGTGACCGCGAGCTTGGCCATGCTCCCCATGATATGGGCGTAGTTCAACTCAGGGTTCTTCGATGGGAAGTCTGGCACCGTCCCCCACAGCACGACAAGCACAACCGCTTGCACTCCTAGCGCCATATAGTATATGTCCCGCCAACTGGCAAACTCGGCGATAAGACCTCCAAGCAGTCGTGCCAGAAGTACGCCGAAGAGTAGTCCGCTCAAGATAATGGCGAATGCCGACGCGCGTCGATGAGGCGGAGCTAGGTCCGCTACGAGCGGTATGAGGATCTGAGGCGGATTGCTAAACATGCCGACGAAGAATGTAAGCACCTCGAAGGCGACGAGTGAGTTGGTGATGCAAAGTCCGATGGTGAGGGTAAGAGCAATGAATACTGAGCCGAGCAGCAAAGGCCGGCGAGGAACCAAATCACTGAGCGGCGCAATAAGCAGTAGACCGGCGCCATATCCAGCAAGCGCGAGGGTAGGTATCTGTGATATGCGATTGTAGTCTGTTCCGAACGCCAATGACAACTGGACTGTGCGTGATTGATCAGCGCGTGCATGAAGAGGGCATAGGTACATCGCGTACTCAAGATGGGTTGAGAGTAATACATGTTTGCTCCGACTGCGAATGCCAGCATGAGTGATGGCTTCCAATGGTTGGGCTAGCAGACACCATACCGAAAGTGGTAGCCAGAGCGAACACGGCATTCAAGATGAAGCCGAAATGAACATGTCGGTCAGGGTGGTAGCGTAGCCTCCTCGGAATCGGTACGACGACAAAGTCTGTCTTCCTAGTGTGCCTCGCCAGTAGGGCTGCCGTCGTGAGCGGAGGTGCGGGCGTATTTGATGCCCCGCGCGCCTTCCGTCCGTCGCGTTCTTGAGGAGAACTTGACGAATTCAATATCAGGGAGCTCATGACGGTCTCTCTAGACGTCAATAACAGGCCTTCTAGTAGTATCCAACCATCCCACAAGTTGAGCTACCACTTCACTGTACGTCAAGGGCGAGTGGGTCAAGTGTGGATTCGAGCCTTGTTGACGTGGGTCGCAGAGAAGCAAGTCCACCCGTTTTCGTCGCTGACGCCCCGTCAGCTACGTCTTGGTAGCGGATAACCCGCGTATAGACAGCGAAGATATAACGAGATAGCCACTTGTGTTAACAGAACCCTCACGTTCTGAGATGCACGGAATGACTGGGGGTAATCTCGTGAATGGAGGAAGTCTTCGAGCTTGAGAGACGGGCTGCTGAGGGGCTAGAAGTTCATGATAGAGAAAGACGTAGACGCAAGGCCCTTTCAGCTATGGCAAAGCATTGTATACACCAATCAGCCGACGATGCAGAACGCAGCCAACCATGATGATCGTCCAGGAGCAGGTGCCAGCACCGGAACGATTCATTACCATTTGAACACGCGGTCCCGTGACTTATCTACGTCATAACCGGTCGCACCAGTTCTGATGTACAAGTAGCACGGGCGCACTATATAAAGAGGGGAGACGCGTCTCTAACATGAGGACGCCAAACGGACACAAGGCTTACCCAAGCAATATGCTGTACGACATCATGAACGCAAGGAGGTGGTAAGAGTGTTTTCGCACGCTGCTGGCCCTTCACTATTGCGATACAGGGTACTTTCCCGCTCAGCCTCGGGCCCCTCTTCACTCGCCCTGCTTGGTTGGGCGTCCAGCGGCACCTTTCATCCTCTGAACCGAAACCCACCCTCGTGCCCGAACCCGACGTGTCGCGGTACATGCGGTCCTCGATGCGTGACGTCTGTCACACTTGCGATCTATCGTTTTCCGCGCGGAATTCAGACGCTGAATGAGCAAGGCCAACTATGCGGCGCACGTATTGTCTATAAGGTATGCGCGTGTCGTACAAGAGAAAGTCTATATCGTGAATCATCATACACTCGTGGAAGGGTCGTCACGTTTTTCATCCGCGGCCGTTTGGGTTTGCGCAGCTGTCTCTTCAGGCAGAGGCTGCTTGCTGTCGGCAGCGGCTCCACTCGCCCGTTCCACCTCAGCATGTTCCACCCTCTCCTTCTCGCGCGCCGCCACGACACTCTTTCGAAACTCAAGTCCGCCCTGGTAGCCAAACCAGGTATAGCGCTGTGTGTGTGGCCCACGGACGAGTAGGAGTGGGATTTGGAACGCGCACAATGCAAACATAAACGCGCCGATCGCGCGCCAACCGTATCTTGTATAAATCTCGGCAGAGACAGCAGAGCCGGTCACTTGTCCCACAAATAGCTGTTCGTACTGTCGTAAGCGACTCACGAACACATTGTCGAAAGACGAGTGGCTTACCGCGAGAATGAGTATGCTGTTGAGCCGAGCACGCATCGGCGCGCTGATGCTCACCACGCTTGTCGTCAGACTGACTTGCTGAAGCTGTCGGAACACGTCCAAGCCAATCGTAGTAACAACCACAGCAGCTACGTTCAGCCCCGCCGCACCCCAGTAGATCTAAGCACGAATAAGCAATGTTCGCCGAGAAGTCAGGGAATCAAGTCTCACTGCCATCACAAGCATCAACATGATTGTCGCGAAGAGTGCAGAATACCAGGGTATCATCTTGTCGACCAGGCGGCCGACGAGAGGTGACAACATAACTCCGACGGCGCCTATGAGACCAAACAATCTTCAAAGAACATCAATCGCCGGAGCAGAAGGCTCAAGGGGATCAGGACTCACCCGATGACGAGTGTCGAGTAGCTGTAAGGTGGGTCACCGAGCACGAAAGTCAGACCTATCCAGTCGATCGTCAGAGAAGGATGATTGCCATTATCGGATAGGGCTCACTGATCCAATAGCAGGTGAAGACAACAGACGACGCGAGGCTGACTATGCATGCCTGTATCAGGCGCGGCTCCGTGACGGCGAGCTTAACCATGCTCCCCATGATGCGAACATATGTCAAGTGCGGATTCTTCGATGGATAATCCGGCAATGTTGACCAGAGAGCGCCGAATACGGCAACTTGTGCACCGAGTGCCATGTAGTACACGTTGCGCCAACTTGAGAATTGCGCGATGATACCCGCCAGCACGCGGGCGAGCAGAACACCGAAGAGGAGTCCACCGAGCACGAGGGCCATGGCTGACGCGCGACGTTCGGGCGGCGCAAGGTCCGCGGCAAGAGGGATGAGGATCTGAGGTGCAACACTGGCCATGCCGACGAAAAACGTGATGACCTCGAAAGCGACGAGGGATTTTGTGGTGGCTAGACCGATTGTGAGGGAGAACGCGATAAAGATGGTGCCAAGCAGCAACGGTCTTCTTGGAACGAGGTCTCCCAGGGGTGCGATGAGTAGAAGACCACAGCCGTAGCCTCCTTGTACCAAAGTAGGGACACGGGCTATGCGGTCATAATCCACGTTGAAGTATGCAGCCAGTTCAACTGCGTTGATGGTATGTCAGTCCACGGAACTAGTACTCTATCAGCAAATCTGAGACACGCACTCAGGATCGGCTGGCAGTAATACAAGTTCGCCACAACTGCCGGAACGCGTTAGCGCCGGGCAACTGTCAAAGTCGTGATGGGAGACATACTGAATGTACTGGCGAAGCCAAAGATGCTGTTCAAAAGCAGCCCGAAGTGGACCTTTCGCTCAGGCTCATAGCGTAATCGTTTCGGTATGGGCAAGAACCAGAAGTCGAATTTCCTCGTTTGTCCTGGCGCAGTTGATTCTGTCGCGGGCGAGGGGGCAGGCGCCGCCTGAGGCGCAGGCATGGAAGGGGCGGCCTTCTCCACGTCCTTCTCATCCAGCCTCTCCTGCGGCCTCTCCATGATCGTGGGCGACGGTGACGCCGACGTGCTCATTGTCGCCAGCTATGTGCGAGCGGAGGAAACTCTCCGGGAAGGAATCGCTCCAGACGCTCGTATGTCGACATTTCCTTTTATAAGACGATGACCGCGTGAGTTGGGATGTATTTCTCGCGCGTAGCGGAGCGGAAGACCGGAACTGATGCAGGGTTCGGCGCGTCGGAGCAGGCGTGTGGATTCCGCGATATTAAATACCTATCTAGATCAGTCACCGAGTACTGCTGACTATATCTTTATAGTATACAGCGCCGTCACCGTGAGAACAACCCAGGACACATTCTGTTAGAAGGAAGGCTGGGTGACCAGAGCATTACTGTATGTATGAGTGACGACTGTCTGAAAAGGTCTGTCAATGGCGGTCGTACGTAGACATTATTCGTCGAGACAGTACAGTATACAGTAGGCAGAACCAGTAGGCAGAAGTCTTAGGTATACTCACGCTGTAGCAGATATAGAACCGCAAGTCATCATGTATCATACGCTCGTCGAAGGGTCGTCGCGTTTCTCGTCCACCATGGGGTGAGCATGTGCAGCAGCGGTCTCCTGTCGCGTGCTGTCGGCATCGGCGCCGCTCGCCCGTTCAGCACCAGCACGTTCTCTCTCCTCCCTCTCCTTCTCTCGCGCTAGCGCGACACTCTTCCTGAACTCGAGCCCACCCTCGTGACCGAACCACGTATAGCGACGCGTGTGCGGGCCGCGCATGAGCAAGACTGGGATCTGGAACGCGGAGAATGCGAACATGAAAGCGCCCACAGCGCGCCAGCCGTACTTGGTGTAGATCTGTGCAGAGACGGCAGATCCAGTGACTTGACCTGCAAAGAGCTACACGGGCAGCAGCAATCAGTACATGAAGAAGGTGCCAAGAACGGTACATACCGAGAGGATGAGAACGCTATTCAATCGTGCGCGCATCGGTGCGCTGATGCTCACTACACTCGTCGTGAGGCTAACTTGCTGTAGCTGTCGGAATACGTCCAACCCTATCGTCACAATGACGACTGCAGCGATGTTCACGCCCGCTGCGCCCCAATATATCTGCGTGGGACGAGTTCAGCCCGACGGCTTTGCTGTACTAGACGAGGTACGCACCGCCATGGTAATTGTAAGCATGCATGTAGCAAATAACGCGCTATACCAGGGTACCATCTTGTCGACCAGTCGTCCGACTAGGGGCGACAACGACACCCCTACTGCTCCTACAAGACCAAATAGTCTGATGACATGTTCAGCTCTCGCCTTGAATGTAGTGTAAGAGTTATCCTTACCCGATTACCAGTGTCGAGTAGCTGTACGGCGAGTTGCCGAGAAGGAACGTGAGAACCACCCAGAAGCACTGAGTTGCGAGTGGCATCAGCATTGAATAAGGGAAGCGCACTGGGATGCATACCGTGAAGCAAGTGTTACTGGCAAAGCTAACGATGCACGCCTGTATGAGTCGTGGCTCCGTGACTACGAGTTTCGCCATGCTGCCCAGAATATGGAAATACGTCAACTGCGGATTCTTTGCCGGATAGTCCGGTAGCGTGGACCAGAGGGCAGTGAACACAGTAGCCTGTACTCCAAGCGCCATGAAGTAAACGTCACGCCAGCTGGCGAACTCCGCAATCAGGCCTGCTAGCACACGAGCGAGCAGAACACCAAATAGCAAGCCACCGAGCACAAGTGCCATGGCTGAAGCACGGCGTTCGGGTGGTGCAAGATCGGCGGCGAGAGGGATGAGAATTTGCGGGGCGACACTGGCCATACCGGTGAAGAAGGTGATGATTTCGAAAGCGACGAGGGAGGTCGTGGTGGCCAGACCGATTGTGAGAGAGAATGCAATGACGATGGTGCCGAGCAAAAGCGGTCTCCGCGGGACAAGATCCCCCATCGGTGCTACGAGTAGTAGACCACAGCCGTAACCTCCCTGGACCAAGGTAGGTATGCGCGATATACGGTCATAGTCCACGTTGAAGTATGCGGCTAGTTCAACTGTATTGGTGGCATGTCAGTCAACGAAACCTTATCATCGGACCCGAGACACGCACTCAGGATCGGCTGGCAATAGTACAAGTTCGCTACGACTGTGAAAACGTCAGAGCTGAATCCAGAAGATGCATCGTATCAACGTACTGAATGTACTGGCGAAGCCGAAGATGCAATTGAGAAGCAACCCAAAGTGAACCTTCCGTTCGGGTTCGTAGCGTAGTCGTTTCGGTATAGGTAGGAACCAGAAGTCGAACTTCCTCGTACGTCCTTCCGCGGATAGTCCTGTTGTAGCATTGGGAGTAGTTGCCGCTTGAGGCGTGGGCATAGCAGAGGCAGCCTTCTCAACGTCCTTCTCATCCAACCTCCCCTGCGGCGTTTCCGTGATCGTAGGTGTTGGTGATATCGACGTATTCATGAGTAGCGGGTGTAGAGAGTCTACGAGAGAGAAACTGCTGCAAATAGGCGTACATCGTCATGTCGGGTTATAAGACGGTGGCGGCGCTAGGTGAGATGCTTCTTCGCGTGTCGCGGGCGACAGATATGCAGGTTTCGGCGCGTCGGACCTTGCATGTGGGTGACTTCATCGGGTCACTACAGCTACTCTATGTCCATTTGGGGACTATGACTACTAAGCATGTCCTTAGAGGAGTATGCATGTTCCCAGGGCGGGCCGAGCGTATTGTAAAGGTCTAAATATACACGACCTATGCATTCCTGCCATGACCCAACTCAGCGTCATGAAAGCGAACCAGGCCTTCGCCGATCTCGAGAACACTGTGATGTATAGCCAGTACACCATCCATTGGACGCGCTATCTGCACCCTAGCCTATCCCCTCACGTTGATACCGTGTCAACTCGCAGCGGCTTCAGGCCTCCCGTCGGCCGCGCTCGATGTCGCGCCCGAGGCGGTCAATCGTGTACGATATCGTCAGGCGGGAGGTGTGGAAGCTGGAGCGCCCATTCCGGGAGTGTCCCGGCTCCTTCCCTGAGATTGGCAGTCACGATTCATGAACAGAATGATGCGCTTGTATTCCCTCCTGGCCGCGGCCGTACAGTGTCTCACTCCGGGAGGCCTACCCAATGATAGAGCACCGCGCCCTGAACATCAGCATACGTTAGGATCATTATCTTACGATAGACTGATAGATGGATAACGTACTGTTGAGTTATCCTTACGCACAATCTTGCGGTTTACAAGAGCTATGAGGCACTTGTTGGCGCGCGCTTGGTTGACGTCGGGAGGCTTCACGAGCTCGAGAACTGAAGAACACCGTCAGAGAACTCATTAGGTAGAGCATGTCATGAAGCATACTCTTCAACCCACGACCGCCTCCGTCCATAAGCAGTTCGATGACCGTCTCAACATTCTTGCGTAGGGTCGGGTCGTTCCCGCGGAACTCGAGGGGTAAACTCATGACGGCCTTGTCAATAGCCATCTGCATCGAACACCATCAGTGACGGGTCAGTATCAGAGTTTGCTGCACTGACCGAGCGCGCTTTCTTTTCCTTCGCGCTTAACGCCGGCTTCTTCCCCTTCTTGACCAACACCTTCTTCGTCCCGGCTGCGGTGTTGACCGTTGTGTCTGCCGCGACAGTCGTTTCAGCAGCAGCCGTGCGTTCCGCCTCCGCAGCTCTCTCCCTTTCGCGCTCTGCTTCTCGTCTCGCGGCTTCCAATCGCGCCCGTGCCTCTTCGGCTGCGCGTTCTGCTCGCCGTCTTGCCATCTCGAATGACGCATCGTTGGGCGCCTAAGAAGCTATGTCCAGATCGAGTGACATGGGAACATACAAGATGGGCTTACCTCATGCCACTCGACGCATAGTCCGTTCATGCCCTGGATGTACATCCAACTAGCGAACGCATCATTGAACTCGGCCAGACTTTGGCCTAAACCCGCGAGCTGGCCGGCCGCTGTACTTAGAGTTTCGGCCTTCACGCCCCATATAAGCCCAAGCGTACACAAAGCAGGAACCCGTAATCGCGGTACGTACCTCATCGCATAGTTCGGCAAGGGCAGGCGGGAGAAATTCCAGTCCCGCAGGAGCACTAGATTCACCATGCCGAGCAGTAGATGCACGCGAAGACGATCGCGATAGGCGGAAGAGAGAGCCCTGGGAGACGCGTCTTAAAGGTGTACGAGGTGCGGGTGGCGCCATTGCGCTAAGATCGGGTTTCAGGGCCACAGACAGACACAGATGAGCGTATGATGGTGGTGGTTCGAGGAAGAGGCGCGTTTGCACGTGAGCGCGTCGAGCCCCTGCCTCATGCCGATGTTGGCCTCGAGTTGTCGCTTGACCACCACGTCTGGCGTCCAGGCGCGCCATTGCATCAACCTCTGTTTGACCAGACTCGACGCAGCAACCTCCACTTTGAGATCACTCGTCCACATACGCGCTTGCCATGCAGCAACTCCCACCATGGGCAGAAGACGTCGTACACGACACTGTCGCGGTCACCAACGGTTCTCAGGCTGAGCTCGAGGGCGAGTGCGAATCCGAGCGGGAAACTGAATCCCAGTCCGAGCCCGAGCCCGAGCCCGAGTACTCCGACTTTGAACAGCAAGAAGAACCTCTCGAGATACCTCGTCTGGATGTTGACTTTGAACTGGTGGACTCTTTGCATACACAGACGCGCGAGACCATGTCTCAATGGCGTGCGTTGTATTCTCAACGCCGACGATGCGGGACGAATAAAGAGCTGTGGTCACTCACTCGTGCGGTCGCCAAGATTGGACAGTCTAATCTTACCAAGAAAGATGTCCCAACACTTCGAGAAAAGGACCCGTCAAGACTCATACGCGTGCTCGTTACGGAACACGATCTGCCCACCTTTCTCGAAGACGTCGTATCGCAAGATGACTTCTTCAGTGAATATCCGGTCAGTTATCTGCCACGATTATACCCCAAGAAACGCACTGAACCGTCGGACGAAGGACTTCATTATGAGTGTTTTAGACGTTGTCATTGCCATAGCCGTTCAGGCCAAGATAGATCCTTCGGTCCTCAAACAATCTCGAGGCCTTGTCGTTGCGCTGTGCGAAAATGCCTGGAGGAATCGAGCCCTACTCGCTGATGACGAAACCATGGACCGATACTACCCATACGGTAGAGAAGGGGCCCGACGTCAGCTCTCCTATATGATGGTCATACTCATAATATCCCTTACCGCGTGAGATTTTTCATCATGTTTGTGCCAGTTGACCCATTCTGACTGACACACTATCAACGCCTCCAGGAAATCATATGGCCATGAGCGCACTCTACGCAGAGCGAGCTTGGTCTGCTGGTTTTACTCTCCAGAGGCAGAGGAGAAGGCCGACACGCTCAAGTTCTCTGTCGTTCTGCTCGACTATACCGTCAGAGGTAACTTTGCCACGGATCGTACACGGACGGATGGGGAAGCCAATGCACTGATGGAGATGATGCATCAAGACGTCCTACCAGTCTTTGGGTCAAAGCCCTATCTTATGCGCTTGCGCACAACACTCGAGAATCCTGACCTCATCAACAAAAGTCTGAATTGGGCCGTCTCGAGCATGACTCGATCCGTGATCACCCATCCAGAATTCTTGAGCGGGATTGCCTCTACTGGTCTCATCAAAGTCGGCATGGAAAGCGTCAATCGTCAGGCTCTGAAGGGACTGCCTGGTACACAGAGTGACTCCCTAGTTCATCTCCTGGGCATGTATACGTGCGTGTTACAGCGGCTTCCCGTTTGGACCCACTCCGACCCGCTGACGGATGACTAACAATAGGGCTATCATGAAGATTGCTTTTGGCTCACCGCACCAAGCTGCCTGTACCGCGCTCATACGAGAGGGGTCTCCGGTCGAAATCGTATCTCGCGCACTCCGCGTTTGCGTGGAGGAGAACCAATCGTCCGGCTTGTCTTATGGTAGGCCTCTTCCCCGGGTACTTATATTATCCGCTACGCTGTGCTAACACATGCCACAGATATGTGTCTCAATGCCTTGAGAACGCTCGGGAACTGTGCTTTATGCACGAACAATCTCAGCACGAAGAGCACTCTCCGTAAAGCCATGCGACAGGGAGTTCGCGAGGAATGGTACCCCACGCTCGTATTTCTACGCAGGACTGCGGCGCGGGCGTCGGACAGCCAACATAACCGCGTTGTTAGCGAATGGAAGAGGCTGGGGGAAGATCTCGAGTTCGACGAGGGAGTCCAGAAGGCTTTATATGAGCGTGAACTCCGCAAAGCCCAGCGGCATTGTACGCGAATAGCATGTCGCTATCACCAGGAACTCTGTCCCGTGCGCGTGCGTGCTTGTAAAGGATGCTATGAAGTGGTGAGTGCTATATGCGGTGGCTGATCCTTTTGAGATAGTTGATCAGTCTTGCGCAGAGATACTGCAGCTCCCCTTGCCAACGTCAGGATTGGAAGGAGGGACACAAGTCGCGATGCAAGCGCTTGAACGAGCCGACGAGTCCGGAGGGTGACGACGAGACCGATGATTGAGTGTGCGCAAGATGTTTTTAGCATAGATTGTTCATGTACGGGAATATTGCTTCCGCTGTCGAACCACTTGAGAAAGATGATACGAGGGACGTTTTCTCACGTGAGCGCGTTCGGTACCGAGGGCGAGGTGTCCAAGGAAACGATCAACGTCTAAAATGAAGTGTCAACCCAACCACCACGACGCCTGTCCAAGCATCCAGCATCCCCCAGTCGAAGTATGGCTCTCGAACTCGCTAGCTCAGTCGACGCGCAGAAGGTGCCAGCATGGACGCAAGACATTACTATCAGTACTGTCGCTGTCACGAGCACCGACATCGACTCGAAGTCGGAATCCTCCGATTCGAGTGAGGAAGAAGTAGGCGCCAGGCCTGCTCGCCTGGACGTCGACTACGATATTCTGAACCTCCTCTATGGCGACATGGATGATACCATGCGCCGCTGGCGCAACCTCTATCACCAGCGCGTCCGGTGCGGTACCAACAAAGAGCTCTGGTCTTTCACCCGCGCCATCGCCAGTCTGGCGGAATCCGTGCTTGGCAAGGCCGACGACCCGAAGTTTGGAGGCAGGGACACCCGTCAGATCATCCGCACTCTCGTTACGGAACATGGACTGTGCTCTTTCCTCGAGCTCGTGGTCTCTCAGGAAGACTTCTTTGCTGAATATCCGGTTCGTCGTCTGCCACGTCGTTTCCGCTGGCGAAATCAAAGCTGACTCTCGTCTTCGTATCGAAGGACTTCGTCATAAGCATGTTGGACGTCGTCATTGCCGTCGTCGTGCAAGCGGAGAAGCATCCGAACGTGCTGAAGCAGTCCCGAGAGATGATTGCGGCGCTGTGCGACAACGCCTGGAAAAAGCATGCCTTGCTCGCCAACAACGACGAACTTGATCAGTACTACCCCATGGGTAGATTAGGAATACGCCACCAGCTCAGCTTCATGCTACTCGCCATGATCATGCCGGTGAAAGCGTGAGTTACGCGCATGTCCTCGGTTTCACGGTCTCTAATCCTCCTACGATAGGAAGACTTTTGGGTCTGAAGGGTTCTTACGCAGGGCGAGCTTCGTCTGCTGGTTTTACTCGCCAGAGATTGAGGCAGCTGCCAGCGACCTCATGTACTCCACTATCGTGCTCATGTACGCGATGGAAGGCAACGCCGGCACAGCGAAGGAACGGACGAGCCGCCAAACGAACGTAGACGTTAAGGACCTGATGGAACTGATGGGACAAGACGTCCTCCCGACTTTCGGGGCGAATGGCTATCTCATGCGCCTACGCAACACGCTCGAGCATCCGGGTCTCATCAACGAGACGCTGGACTGGGCAGTCTCCAGCATGACTCGCTCTGTCATTACCCATCCCGAGTTCTTGAACGAGCTCGCACCGTCTGGTATCCTCAAAGCCGCGCTCGAGTGCCTCAACCGTCAGGCTATGGAAGGAAAGCCCGGCACACAGAGTGATTCGCTGTGCAATGTCCTGGGCATGTATACGTACGTGCACTCTCGCTACGTCCCCACTAACACGCTAACGAGTCGAACATAAACAGCATGATCATGAACGTCGGTTTTGCGGCGCCCAAACGCCATCATGCCATATTGACTGCGCTCATTCGGGAGGGCTCCCTTGTCGAGATAGTAGCTCGCGCACTCCGGATCTGCGTAACCGAAGGGCAGAGCAAGGGTTTGACCTATAGTGAGTCTAATCGTCACACGCCTCGCTCGTTCCACACATCGTTCTAACGAATATGCAGATATATGCCTGGATGGTGTGAAAGCCCTCGAGACCTGCGCTCTGTGGGCGAACACTCTGAGCGCCAAGAACCCTCTTCGCAAGGTCATGCGCCAGGGATTCCGCGAAGAATGGTACCCCACTCTCGCTTTCTTGCGCGAGACAACGGGCCGTGCCACCAACAGCAAGCACGCGCGCATCCTCAACATCTGGAAGAAACTGGGCGAAGATCTCGGGTTCGAGGAGGACGTACAGAAGGCTCAGTATGAGCGCGAACTTCGCAAGGCTGAGCGTCACTGCACGCGTGCAGCGTGCCGCTATCATAAGGAAGTCTGCCCTATCAAGCTACGCGCTTGCAAGGGTTGCGGCGAGGTGAGTTTAGGATCCGCGTCGCGATCTTCTATGGGTTCTCGACTAACGTCTTCGTAGAAATATTGCAGTTCAACCTGTCAGCGCAAGGATTGGAAGGAGGAACACAAGTTGCGATGCAAGCGCTTGAACGGAAACCCGGAGGGTGAAGCCGAGCCCGCGGCCTGAAGCGCTCGCTCCTTATCTCTAGCCTGCAGTCGTACATATGTCAGGCCATCGTATAGATGTATTCTGTCGCGAAGTCTAGGGGTGAATGTCTTATGTTAAACGGTTTCGCTACCTTTCAACGCGTGACGGGACGGTCTTTAAACGTTAGAGGGGATAAGCAAGATAACTTGCCATTAGCGCTGAGCCACACACGACGCTCACTCGTACCAATACATACAACATCCCGCATGCGCCGCCAGCTGAGCGGCGGGTGATAGTCAAAGGCTACAACAGCTGTTGGCCAGTCTTCGAGGCCGAGTTCGCCGATCAAGCCGCCGGCAACAGCATACACGCGGAGGTACTCGTGACGTCACTTGTTGATTGCCTCGTGACCACGTTGAATTGTTGAATCTCGGACGCCGCGGCGCAGCCTCAAAGCGCTCGAACACGCTGAAAAGTCCGTGCGCATACAAAGCGATGCACGGTTCCTTGATCAAGAGAAATAAGATTCAGAAGTGCGAGAGGGATGGTACGAGCGCCAGCGGTAGTTACACACACAAACTGAGAGAAATAACGACGAAACGGAGCGAGACGGGAGACGCGGTACGAGAGATGAGACGACGGAGGAAATGAGACAGGCGACGGTGTAAGGTACTTTGGAGTACGGAGGGAGCGCAATAAACGTTACTGTACACGAAAGATGTCGGGGACAGTACGAGATGACAGGTCTTTAGATGTGCGGGATGGAGACGTTTAGTCGTCGTCCTCGGCCTCCTCGCCAGAGCCAGAGGCGGCTTTGCCGGACTGCGATGCATGGTAAGCAAGTAGTCGATACAATGAAGATGCGAAAGACAAACCTCGTACTCCTCCTTCTCCCGCTCGTACCGTGCCTTGTCTTCGGCTGCCTGCTTGATGTACGGCTAAAGGCCTGTTAGCGGATGAGACTTGTATGATCAACACTATCAACCAACCTTCTTGTCATCATCGTCCATCTCTTTCCACTTGCCGCCGAGGATCTTCCCGAGCTCACCTGTGCAGACGGCGATCAGCACAGGCTCACCGACGACGTCCGAGCAACACAACATACCGAAGCTTGCGTCGGGGTGATCCTTCTTCACCTGTTCACGGTGATCTTGGGAGAAGAACATGTAGGCAGAGAGACCGCGCTTGGGGGCGTTCTTGTCCTTCTTTGCGCGGGTCTTCTTGCCGTCGGTCTTCTTTGCGGCCGCCTTGCGGGTCTAAAAGCATGGTATGAGCATCGGATCATGCATAAAACGAGTATGGAAGGAGGGGGGACGTAAAAGGGTTTGAGGGGAGGTGAGCGAGGGAGACGACGCTGACCTTGGTCTGGGTAGCTTCCTTGGGCATCTGTGGAGCGGGGAACGTCGTCAGCACGTCGAACGACACGTATATCAACCAGAAAAACACGCTCGACGCGAGCGAGGAAGCGGGGACCACGTTGGTGCACTAGCGCGCGGGCGCCAGGCGTGGTCGCACCGTGGGGGACGACGACGAGGGCTTATCGATGAACGACAGCGCGCACGACGTGTCATATGACCGGTATGACGCCTTGAAATAAACGTACGGTAGATGGACGGGTGGTTGGGCGAGGGAGGTCTTAGGCGGGCGGTCGGTGCAGGCGCCGCGAGTCGATTATGCGCGGGGCTCTGTGCAGGCGAGGTGAAAGCCCAGTGTGCCAGCGCGGGCCAGCTAAAGAGATGGGAAAATCGGCCATAAGCGCCGCCCCACGCTGCTCGGCCCGGTTGATCCGGCCCTTAGCCCTTCACACCGTTTCTCCTCTCCCTCTCAGCCGTTTCCCTCCATTTTTCTACACGACGCAGAACGCATATACATAGCGCTGTCTGCCCAGTCTCGAGGCGGGGAGAGAGCATACAAGAGGACAATACACTGGTCGGGAGAAGCCGGCCCCACACTGGCGCGATAACCTGGCCCTGCTGATGCCGCGGATTCAGGCCGCTGGCCGCTGGCCGCTTGCGACAGTTGTGCGACAGCTTCGCTGAGATCTTCCTTGCAAGCAACCGCAGAACTTCTTCACCCTCCGCCGACAATTGATATGCGGTGCGCGAGATATTCCCGGCGCGCGTCGCATGATGCCTGTGCGCCGTGCGAGGGCTGGATAGGCTGGAGGCGTGGTGCGCGCCCAGATGGTCGCCAGATGAACCCTGTGCGAGACGTTACATGATTCGACCAGCTGCGCTGCTCGGAATTCTGGGGCGCGAAGCTAGCGTAGAGTTTGGTACTGCCCGCGAGACATGGTCACGCCGAAGATCGTGGCATCTATCCTCGTACGTCAAAGAGCTGACAGCTCGTGCACTTGCCAGGCTTGCTGCTTCCGTCCTTTGGGTCTGCTGCTCAGCCCATATGGTCTTCCCCAGATGTAGACGATTCGTGCTACTCGCCACACGTACGCATGTAGTCTCCCATTCGTGTACGACATACATAGCCTATTTGCAATGCACAACCCTTGGAGATCAACAAGCGCCGCTATGTTTCACGCCACGCCAAGAGGCCGATGCCTCCATGTGTTCGCAGACAAACGTTCGCATTCGAACTACATGATACATACAGCGACGGTAGCGTCGCACATGAATAGAGTCGGACAATGGCAAAGTACACGAGCGCAGCTGGCGTTCGCAGAGAAGCGTAAAAGGTAAAGAAATAAGATCAGAGAAGACCGGCGCCATCGAGCGCGCCCTGCAACTCGGCGACGTCCTGCGTAGACTCCGCCTTTGCGCGGAAGAAGCCCTGCAAGAAGTCGTGCAGGATCCCGTATTTCGTGCCAGCATCGTATCCGCCGTAGCCGTCCGCGGGAACGTCGTACTCGGGAGGCGCGTAGTACGACGGAGGCTCATAGTAGCTGTACTTGGGCTTAGGCGGCGGCTCATAGTACTCCGGCGGCGCATAGTAAGGCTCGGGAGGTGGCGCCTCGTAGTACGGCTCAGGCTCGGGTGCCTTGTAGTAGATCGGCGTCTTCTTGTACGATGCAGGCGGGGGAGGAGGGGGCTCATAGTACTCGGCCGGTGGCGCGTAGTACGGCGCGGGAGGCGGAGGCTCGTAGTACTGAGCAGGCGGCTGGTACGGCTCGGGTTCAGGCTCCTTGTAGTACGTCGGCGGCGGCTTGTACTCGTCCTTGGGCGGATCGCAGGGCTCCTCAGGCGCCTTGTACTCGTCCTTAGGCGGCTCGTACTCTTTGGGCGGCTCCTTGTACTCGTCCTTCGGAGGCTGGTACTCCTCCTTAGGCGGCGCCTTGATGTACTGCTTCGGCGGCTTGTACTCGTCAGCGGGCGGCGCGTACTCATCCGCAGGCGGGTCACAGTCTTCCTCGGGTGCCTTGTACTCGTACTCGTCCTTCGGCTGCTCGTACTCCGGCTCGGGCTCCTTGTATTCGTCCTTCGGAGGCTCGTAGTACTCGTCCTTGGGCGCTTCGTACTGCTCCTTGGGCTGCTCGTACTCGTCTTTCGGAGGCTCGTAGTACTCGGCGGGAGGCTGGTACTCCTCCGCGGGAGGCTCGTAGTACTCGGCAGGAGGTTGGTACGGCTCGGGTTCGGGAGCGGGAGCGTCGTAGCGTTTAACGTGGGTGACGGAGCGCGCGTTGGAAGAGGAAGGTTGGCTGTGAATGGCATCAGCTCCGGCTCCGGTACAACAGACGCCGATAGAGTACGTACTCGGATGGAACAGGTGCAGCGAACGATGCGGCGGCTAGCGCGGTGCAGATGAAGAAAGACAGGCGTGCAGAGTGCATGATAGAGAGCGGTGGTGTAGAAATGTGGGGGTGCGGATAGTAATGTGGGGGCTGGCCTGCAGCGGGGGTAGAGGAGAGAGAAGAGACCGAAACTGAGGCGTCGCGAGCACTGAACGGGCGTGTTTATATACACACATGTTGGACGGAGTGCATGTCTTTCCTGGATGTAGGCCAAACCCGAATCGAAGCTGGACTGAGACACCGAAGCTGTGGCAGAAGTCGAACTTGTGGCATCGCATGGGTCCATGCGGGCCCGCAGTGGTTGGCGATGGTATTCGATTGCCCGAAGAACAGACGTGGGTACACGGTACGGATGATGATACACCGGTCCTATCGGCCAGGGTGGAGTAGGGTATGAGGGAGCGTACAATGAGCGCGAGACCGGGGATGAGAGAGCGCGAGGGAGTCGGAGCGCGTGTAGCTTCGTTCTCAATGTGCCCTTCGGACGGTTGCGTCGTGTTGTAGCAGCATATCACAGCACCAGGGCAGTTGGCCCGAGTCGTTCCCTCTTCGCAGAGTCACTCGGACCTCACGGCTGGTGATGAGTGTGTTGAAACGGTGAGCGCCAATCGGGGTCACTCCGTGTCGTGAATTCGCTTGCACCGAGATTTATGGCCGTCCTTCCAGTCTTTGCGCTGACAGGATTGGCTACAGTATTTCTGCGGGAAATATTAGCATCTCATGATCAGACAGCATGCAGATGACATGCTACGCACCGCTTCGGCGCATCCCTTGCAAGAACGCAGTGATACCGGAGACTCTTCCGTGTGGTATCGGCATTCCTTCCATGTACAGCGTCGAAGCGCTTTGCGCACTTCACGCTCGTATTCCGCTTTCTGCGTGGTCTCAGCAAAGCCCATTGCTTCGCCTAGGCTCTGCCAGGCTGTGGTGATCTCATCATGTTCGTTGATGGACGGCGAAGCAGAACGTGATTGGCGTAAGAAGTCGAGCGTCGGGTACCAGTGCTCGCGGAAGCCTTGACGGATCGACTTTCGGAGGGTATTCTTCGGACTGAGCTTGTTCATCGTGAGCGCACACGTTCTGAAGCCCTTGAGAGAGTAAAGGCAATGATCTGTCCTTCAAATCAGACGCTGGCAGACGGTCAAAGTTACGAGATGGAAACTTACTGTAGTCCAAGCCTTCATCCTGCCCTTCGGAGACGCACACGCGAAGCGCACGAGCCTCCATCACCATACGACCTTCGCGTACGAAAGCAGGGATGACAGAATGCACGTCTGGGACAACACTACTGATGCGAATCGTCAAGCTACCGGTTAACATTTGCGTGAGCGGCAGACCTAACAATGGTGATCAAGGCACTACACGTACCTATACAACCCCACAAGCTCGTTGAGGACTTGACTTAATGTTCCCGGGTCCCCTGTCAGAGTCTGCTTATTAACGGCTTCGACGAGAGCGGAGAGTACACCGGATGAGACTATATTGGCAAGAAGGGTCGGGTGGTTGGCGATGGTTCTGCACACGCTCGAGACGGTCCATATGAGGCTGTTATTAAGGAGAGCAGGGTTCTGAAGTGTCTTCAAGAGACGCTCGAGGTATGGCTTTACTCCCAGAGCCGGCACCACGTCTATTCGCAGGAAGTCAGTCAATGCTGTGCGGGGTGTGTTGGGATCGGGAGGTTCGCCGGGGTAGAAATCTGCAGGAAAATCTCTTGTTGCATAGCTCAGTACCCTGGCAGAGATTACAAGGTCCGTGCTTGTTTCGAATTCCAGGCCGTAAAACCAACATAGTAGGGCGGCCCGGCGTATGGCGACGTCGCAGTTGTACTGTTCACTGTCGCATGTGCAGTATGAATATCAGCGTGCTCTGTACAGGCCAGGAGCGTCACTCACGGAGATGACTGAACGAGCGCCATAACGACATAGTACAGCGAGTCGCGTACTCCGTGTCTACACCGGGAATAGTACTGATCCACCCCGTTGTCATCGGCCAACAGGTCCCGGTTTTCCCACGCAGTAGTGCACAGAGCCGGCACGATGTCTTTGAGTGGGTCAAGCAAGCTGGGGGCCTTGCGTGAGACGTCAACGATTGACATAACGATGTCAAGGACACTCATGACGAAGTCCTGATATGCGATCGTCAGATAACTCGGGCGCGGTCGCCATGGATACGGCAATCACTGACTGGGTACTCGTCAAAGAAATCATCTTGACTAACGACTTCGCGAATGAATGCGCATAGGTTGGCCTCCGTGACAAGGTATAGGAACGTTATTAGGCCACGCCCTGGGCGCTCCTTTCGGCATTCGTTGAGAGCGCCCTGCGCTATGAGTGCCGCAGCGCCGGTGAATGCCCAGAGCTCTCTATTCGTGCCTCGACGGACTCATCGGTCGTACAGTGTACGCCAACGGATTGTAGCCTCTATGTGCTGTGCTTGAAACAGGTCCAGTATTCTCTGGTCAACTTCGAGGCGACCGGCGCCGCCGCCTGTCGTGTTTTCTTCTGAGTCAGGCTTAGGAGCGTCGGGGTCATTCACATCATTCGCCCAGGGTGGAAGCGGTCGCGAGCTAGATTTAGAGTCCAGAAGCTCGGCAGGCATCTTTCTGAAGTAGTGCGGTGGCAATGTCCCGCGGCTGGGCCACTGTCGCGCGCTCACGATTCGGTGGTGGACGGCGATTGACAACCTACAGCAACGCCCGAAAAGCAATTTATGCGCGTTCCGGGCCGGGCCGAGCGGATCCGAAATGCCGAAAGATGCACCTGTGGCGCGGCTGCATACGTACTTAGGTGGTCTGGCACAGCTCGTCAGCTACACTATAACTTGAAGACACCGGTACCGCTCGGCATATGCTCTACGGTTCCATGTGTACGTCCTGCGCTGGATGACATGACATCAGGCCCACGACTTTACATAGATGATGTCCTCCGAGTACGGCCTGGGTGTCGACCGAGAGCGGTGTGCTACTGGACTGTAGCTTGGCATCAACATCCAGCAAAGCAACATAATACTTCTGTCTGAGGTGGGACAATTCCAGATGTGATCAAGAAACGTCCTCAGGCGCGTAGTCGTTGAGACGCCTACATTGATTCTTATGACCTTCCTTCCAATCCTGACGTTGACAGGCCCGACTGCAGTATCTCTGCGAGTTCAAAATCAGTATAGGACTATATGGAAGCGATAGTGACATACCGCATCAGTACAACCTTTGCAAACGCGCAAGGAAACAGGAGGTTCTTTCGCGTGATAAGGACATTCCTTTCGAGAACAACGTCGTAGGGCTCTGCGCAGCTCGCGCTCGTACTCCTCCCTTTGTTTGGCCTCATCGAACCCGAGGTCTTCTCCTAGTTTCCTCCAGAAGTCAAGCACCTTGTCGTGTTCTCGGATCGACGTCGCACGGGCGCGGGTTCTGCGCAAGAACAGAAGTGTTGAATACCAGTGCTCGCGGAAGCCTTGACGCAAAGCTTTCCGAATGGGGTTCTTTGTGCTCAGTCTGTCCGTTGCGAGAGCGCATGGTTTGAAAGTTCGAAGGAAAGTCATGCACATATCTGGAACACCTGTGAGCGCGCGGAAGCTGTATAGTTCGTGATCTCCAGACATACAGTACGTTAGGCCCGTCCTATTCCCTTCCGTAACACATACGCGGAGTCCCCGAGCCTGAATCTCGACCATGCAGCCTTCTCGGATAAGTACAGGAACCGCTGACTGGGGGTCCATAGTCGACATAGCGTATTTCTGTATGACGCTGGTGCTAGGTATCAGCAGGGGAAGAACGCAATGAGACAAAGCGATGCCCACGTATACGCCTTGAGTAGTTGTAAGAGCGTGTCACTCTGGTTGCCAGCTGCTCCTTTGAGGGCTTGACGGTTCACCGCTTCCATGATTGCTGCCAGTACACCAATCGATGTAATATAGGTAAGGAGCACAACGTCACCCGTAATTGCTCGACAGGAAGCTCCAATAGCCCAATGGAGGTTTTCGCCTAGAAGAGCTGGCATACTTCCTATGCGCTTCAGGAAAGGTACTGGCCCGAGTTCTGGTAGGATGTCTGAATGCAGGAGGCGATAGAGCGCGTGCTCGTCGAATTCGACCTTTGGACTGCCCCGATAATGCCATGACAGATATGACGGACGCTGGTCGCCGAGATCATTAGAACCCGGCGCGCCGGGACTTCCTTCCTGCGAGAGCCCAGTATACGGGGGATCGCCGTCTTCACGGGTGGCCATCATATCATTGGCCCAGGGAGGGAGGGATTGTGATGAG